ATCGATGACTGTGATGATGTGGTGGATGAAGTCGAGCGGGCATCTGCTTTTTGTTGTATTACTGCCTGGTCGTATTGCACTTGTGGTTGTATTTCAGGTGATTAAAGAGATTGGTTGTGTTAGCGTGTGGTGCCAACACAACCTGGTAACAAATCCTGCACTGTACTTTTGTTTTGCTCCACGTCGGACTCCTGAAAGCCAAAGTACTTCCAAATAGTGGAAATAGTTGTAACCCTTCTTTTTAACGAGTTGCTGCTCTTGTTCTGACATCTTCGCTCGCGCTGAACACTCACAACACATGTCACTCCCACGTGGCCAGAGTGGGCTTTTAGGGAGGGGCGAAAGCGCACCAGCAAAAAATAATCGTATTTTGTCAATTATGCTGTTTTCATAATCGTCGCAAACCATAATCGTAATCGCGATTAAAATACGATTAATTGCACAGCCCTAAGGCAGCCTCATTTATTTGACAACATGTACTCGCCCTGACCTATGTTTTGTCGTGAGTAAGTTATCACAGCATTTTGCTGATTCCCACAGAAGAGCACTGGATTACAGCAAAACATGTTTTTCCGTTATCTTAAAGGTACAGCAGATAAACAGCTTTGTTACAGGAAGAGCAGCGAGGGGCTTAGGGCTTCAAGCCTATAGTGACGCAGATTGGGCGGCAGACCGCCACAGACAGGAGAAGTACCACAGGGTATTGTGTGAGTAATGGGTACAGACAGCTCACTGGTTTCATGGAAAACAGGGAAACAGCCCACAGTGGCACTATCAACTTGTGAAGCCGAATATATGGCTCTAGCCTTGACAATACAGTAATGTATTTATCTGGGAACAACTGCTCGAAGGAATGGATACCTATGTATATAAGAAAACGGTTGTTTATGAAGACAACCAGGGAACCATTGCACTTGCCAGAAACCCTGTGTGCCGACAGAGATGTAAACATGTGGATATAAAATATCATTTAATTAGATCTGTCATCAGAGAGAGAAAGATGACACTGGTTTACTGTCCCACAGATGACATGGTTGCAGATGCTATGACCAAGCCTGTCTCCAAACTGAAATAGAAAAAATTTGCAGGGGTCATGTTCGGTGTGTAAAATATTGCCTATTATGGAATAGTGACTGCCATGTTCTTTTGATATTTTGAACTGTTATTTTTCTTGGAAAAGTTGTACAGTATACATATCATTCATAAGTGGGGGAGTGTTAAGTGTAAGTATTAGGGGTGTAACGGTACACGTACCCGTACCGAAATTATTCGGTACGGGCACTTCGGTTCGGTACGGGTGTGTACCGAAGTGGTACCGAACGAATATAACGTTAAAACGTAAAAAAATTTAGAACGTGAACAACTTTTTGGAAGTAATCTCAGGTGCTGCGGGCGCAAGCATTCAGAGTCATTTGCTCACATTGGGTTCCACGCGTCATAGAGCGAGCAAGTAATTTCATTGGACGAGAGAGGCATGCTATGAGAGCTGGTCACAGGGATGCGTTCAAATTTAGTCAGTATTTGAGGAACTCTCAAAATGGCGAACGCCAGGGGAAAGTGGAGCTCGAAAATCCTCCACCAACATTAAAGTCTCCGGTTTGGGAACATTATGGTTTTGCAGTTGCATACAACGATGACGGACAAAGACAGGTGGACCGAACTAAAGCTGTTTGTCGGCATTGTTCGACACACATTGGTTACGCGGCCGGCAATACAACAAACATGCACACGCATCTGAAAAGACATCACCCCGAACGTAAATATTACCGGTACCAAACGAAAAATGACTGAAGTGCAAACTCAACTCCCACTATCATTTAAGCCTCCACCACTCGTAAAAAGTTCCGACCGAGCCACAGCTATCACAAACGCCATAGGTGTTTTCATAGCAGCGGACATGCGACCATATTCCGTTGTGGAGAATATAGGGTTCAAACACATGTTGAGAGTGGTCGAGCCTCGTTACCTAGGTTCCCTCTCGTCCGCACTTCAGCCAGGAAGTGATACCAGCACTTTACAATAAAGTAAAACAACAGTTGTCCACGACCTATCCAAGGCATCTTCTATTGCTCTAACGACCGAGTGGGTGGACATCTCGGGCCACCGAGAGTTATTTAACTGTAACGGCGCACTACATTAACCACCCGACTGCAACTGGAACATGCAAAGCCAACGTCCTGCAAACTCGCCCCCTTTACGAACAGCACACAAGCACAAATCTGGCAGAGGTACTGAAGGAGGTAGTGTTCAGAATGGAAGTTGGAGAGGCCAGGTAACACAATTCCAGTCACAACAGATAACGCAAGAAACATTGTCAATGCAATCAGTGAAGCTGGACTGGGCCCCCAAATTGGATGCTTTGCTCACACAATTAATTACCAGGTGTCCAGGCTGCTAGGCAGAAATCAGGAGTGTTGTGTCTTTCTTCCACCGTAGCACACAGCTGCACATAATATTGCAGTGCAAACAGGAGATGCTCAATGTGCCAAAACACAAACTCATCCATGATGTCCCCACTCGCTGGAACTCTACAGTTATGACATGGTGGAGCGGTATCTTGAGCAGCAAGCTGCTGTTTACTCAGCATTGACAGAAAAGACCCTCAAGAAAAACAAAAACATTAATACATTGAGTGACCAGGATGTGAGAATGGCAGAGGAGGTAATTGAGGTCCTTAAACCCCTAAAAACAATTACAACACTGATGTGCACTGAAACAACTCCATCAGTTTCAATGATCCTGCCTCTCAAAACAATGCTGATTAAATCCATGGGACCAAATGAGAAGGACGTGTAACTAAGGAAGTCAAAGCTGCCATGCCATCAGAGGGAGCCTAAAGGACAGATACACTGACCCTGCTCTTCAGGACTTTCTTCATAAATGCACAGCTGTAGATCCAAGGTTCAAGGCCCTTTCTCATGTGGATAATGCCTGCCGTGAACACATCTACAACAGTCTCACCACAGAGATTGTGGCCATTGAAGAACAGGTATACAATTAATTAATTTCCTTATGCATAAATTCAATTTTTGCTTAATTTGAAACATGTTATAGCTGTTACAATGTGAATAGTACTCTCATGTAAAATATAACATTATTTCTGTCATTTAATTCTGCAGAGGGAGGCCACAGAGACAGCAGGAGCCATGTCATCCGCAGGGAGAGCAGACCCAGAGGAATCTGTAGAATCTTCCTCCTCCTCCTCCTCCTCCCATCCTCCTCCTCCTCCTCCTCCCATCAGGAAGTCAGCCATGGCAGAACTGTTTGGTGAGCTCTTCAACACTGAGGAGAGAAACAAGCCCACTTTGCACCTGGTGAAGGGAGAGGTTACCTCATACATGGCAGCGGACAGCACTTCACTGGACTCCGACCCACTTGCATGGTGGAAGAACAATGAGGCCAAATATCCTCATGTTGCCATGTTGGCAAAGCGCTACCTGGCTGTATCTGCTACCTCTGTCCCTAGCGAGAGGGTGTTATCCACAGCAGGAGACATTGTTAGTGCCAGCAGATCTGCCCTTTCAGCAAGCAATGTGGACAAGTTAATTTTTCTAAAAAAAAACCTGAAAATACAATGAGAAGCAATCTGCCGGCTAATGTCAATCTGCTGGCTGCTCAGGTCTGAGTACTAGTATTACGAACAGAGTACTACAGTACAGTTCAAGCACAGATTTCAGTTCATCGAAATGCTGCACTTTTGTTCATTTTGTTATATTTTTATTTATTAGAGTTCACAGTTTAATAATAATAAAAAATATATATATATATTTTATGTTTTTGTGAGAATTTTTCTGCTGTACCGAAAACGTACCGAACCGAACCGTGACCTAAAAACCGAGGTACGTACCGAACCGAAATGTTTGTGAACCGTTTACACCCCTAGTAGTATTAATATGTCTGCATGTAACTGCACTATAACTGTTCCACAGTAAGAGGGCGCTATAGGTCCGGGGGCTAGCTCCCCCGGGAAGATTTGTTGTTACATATTTAAGTTAAAAGCATCAATCTGGTGCACTTTGAGAGCAACATTAAGAGATCTATGGATACATCTCTCAACAACCCATACGAAACAGAACTGTCAACAGATTTTCTATTTCTTTATAGATATTTTACAAATCACTCCCCTTTTAAAACAAACCGTTTGAGACCCACTGAGATAACTAGACTAAAGTTAACTATCTAAACATTGAGAGAGTCCTTTACTTCACCTGAGTTGAGGTTACCTGAGACTCTCCGTCTGACAGGAGAGAGTTCTCCCTCCACCTTGTTGTTGAAAAGCTCCTTATATCCATTAGCTTGGCTAGCTAGCACCAGATGCTAACCACACGATCTCCGGTAGATACCCACTGGTGCGCGAGGCGAGCTCTCTCGCTCGCTCGCGCACGCACGCACACAAAATGGCTCGTGCCACACACACACACACCCACACACACACACACACACACACCACACACACACAGAGCAGGGCTTGAATGAAACACAGAGACCCAGAAGTAAGCTACTTGTACTCACGAGGCCTATTATGTGCAGAATCCCTCTCGCTTTCAGGTGGTTTTGATTGAGTGTCCACACGTGGTCGTTTAAGGACTAAAAAACGATCAATTTTTCACTTTGCTGTTAGCAAATCATTTGGCGCAGCTAACAGAAGTCAGTCAAGTGTCACAAAGTAATTTAGCCTATGGGTAGGTCAAAAATCCAATGGGTGCTGACCATTGGCCTAATCATATCACCTGTGTTGGCTTTATGTTTTTGGTCAAAAATGTGTTTGTTTAACATATGCATTGATGTAATCAATAATATTTCTAATTTAATAAAAATAATAATAATAATTTTCGAAAAAAAACAAAAACACATATTTCTTGGGGGTGCTTAGGGGGTGCTTTGAAATCCGGGGGTGCTTCAGCACCCCCTAGCCCCCCTGGCGCCGCCCCCCTGCATGTCACACTGTTCAGATGGCTTCTGGTGCGCTGGAGGGCACTCCACAGCAAACACAGCGGAGCCTACTTTGAGGAGTCAGGAGCGAGTCCTCCTGTAACCATGTGGCGATCTGCTCCATTTCCTCCTAGAGATGGTTGACATGTAAATATGGTTACAGACAAACCACCTTGTGTCACACTAAGAAAAAGGCTCTACTTGTAATGAACATTGTAATATTGACTGCCATGTTCTTTGATGTTTTGAACTGTTATTTTTCTTGGAAAAGTTGTACAGTATACATATCATCATAAGTGGGAGTGTGTTAAGTGTAAGTATTAATATGTCTGCATGTAACTGCACTATAACTGTTCCACAGTAAGAGGGCGCTATAGGCGTAAGGAGGCGCAGCTATTGTAGCTGACGTCAGGTATCAGATATAAGGGATTGTTCCCTCCCCTTCTACTCTCTAGCTCTCATGGAGAGCAGGTCAAGTGGTGCAATGCACATATGAAAATAAACCACGCCAGTTAAGGCTAAAGAAGACCTCGTCGTCATGACCAGTTTATTGCTATACATGTGACTCTGTCAACAGGTTATGGGCCCAGATCACGGAAGAGCGAAATAACGATAGCTAGTTAGCTGAAAAGTTTAGGCTAGTTTAGCGGCGGGAAAACCGCGGGACGCTAAAAAGCTAAGCTAACGGGCAGCTAAGCTAAGCTACAATCAAAAGATGGCGACCAGAGGCAGAAGCAAGTGGCCCACGTTTGACGGAAGGGCAGAAGAATACGAGCTCTGGGAAGAGCGGATGTTGTGCTGTATGCACGGAGTGGGGCTGAAAAAGACAATTTTGACGGGCCTCACGGGAGAAATAACGGAGGCCGCGCGAGCCCTGGATACTAAGCTGAACGCCGACGCATACTGCGAACTAGCACCACTCCTAGACAACACAAGCTTGGGGCTGATATTCCGGGACACAAAGGCCGAGAGAGTCTAAAAGTGTTAAGAGAACACTACATCGGCAGAGGTAGGCCCCGGATTGTATCCCTGTATATAACATTGACCGCGCTGAAGAAAGCTAACACAGAGACTGTGACTGAATACGTCATCAGGGCGGAACAGATCATCACGGCGCTCAAAAGTGCAGGAGAAGCACGAGCGATGGACTAATGATGGCGATGGTTATGAGGGGACTACCGGAGATGTATAAACCGTTCACACTGTTGGTGACGCACGGTTCAGCGGACATGTCGCTGGGGGAGTTCAAGGCCAAGTTGCGGAACTTCGAGGCCTCAGAAGACTCAGACCCGGTCGCCGAGGAGGCGGGAGCAAGGGTAATGAAGGCCCGGGCAGCGCCAAAGAAAAAGACCGGACCCCCGACGGAGATGGCGTGTTGGCGATGTGGAGAAAAGGGTCACCGAAAGGATAATTGCACAAAAACTGTTTGGTGTAGTTTCTGTAAAACTTCGGGACACGCAGACAGAGTGTGTAGAAAGAAGCGCGAACAGGGCGCTCGGTACGCGCGCGTGCAAGATGGCGGCTGTGGACAAGATGGCGGCAGCGGTGGACGTGAGGCGAGTCGAGACGACGCCCGGAGAGCAGCGGGAAGAGAGGACTTCACCTTCGGGGCGCAGACAGCATACGCCAGCCGGTCAGCGCAGCAGCAGGCCCAAAGGAAGGGACTGATCGTGGACACAGGTGCGTCACATTATCAACGACAGGAACCGATTCAAGAACTTTGACAGCACCTTCGAGCCGGAGAGACACAGCATGGAGCTGGCAGACGGGAAGCGCACTTTCGGGTTGGCGCACGGGAGAGGAGACGCACAGGTATGCCTCATAGACAGTGAGGGGCGCCGGTGTACAGTGACGTTGAAGAACGCCCTCTACATACCCTCGTTCCCCCAAGAACTATTTTCTGTAAAATCTGCTACTGCAAATGGTGCCAAGGTGTTCTTCAATGAAGGTAACGATGTTCTTGTGGAGCCTGACGGTACGAGATTTAACATTGAGGTGTACAAGAGAATGTATTATCTACAAACAGAATGTAATGAAAATGATGTGTGTAATGTCAGTCATGATATTCAGACATGGCATGAGATCATGGGTCATTGTAATTACGAGGATATACTGCAAGCAGGCGGTAACAGTAGGCATGCACATTAACGGTGAAAAGCATAGACCTAACAAAGAATGTGATGTGTGTATAAAGGGAAAGTTCACTCAAACAAGGAACAGAGGTCCCACAGAAAAAGTAAAACACCACTTGAGCTAGTTAACACAGATCTAGCCGGTCCAGTAAATAATGAGTCCATAGTAGGGTTGCCAGAAACTGACCATGATCAAAATCGATTATTCGGCAGCCCTGGCGAATAATAATCAATTATTCGACCGACCCCTGTAGGGCTGTAGCCTGTATTATTAATAATAGCAGCATTGCAATAAATAAATTGTGCGCGCATCGCGCATCTTCAAATGGATGCACTCAAAACGCATTGTTGAGCTGTGATAGACCAACGTCTTTTCGCAGAGCTTGCATTTAACTTCCTTTGGACATGTAAGTTCGAAGTAGTTCCACGAGGAGGAACTCTTTTTACCTGCCGCTTTGTTCATTTTACGTGTTGGGGGGGGGGCGGGGGCGGTGTGTAGCGTGCTGCAGCAGCAGTCTGCTCTGCACGCAGGCTTCCTCCAAGTTTACAGTAAAACAAACTGGTGGTGTGACCAATGGCCATTTACAATTATTAATACTATTACTATTATTAGCATTAGTCTATATTTTGGTTGAAACTAAGCCAGAAAAAAAAAAAAAACATAAATAATAATAAAATATATAAATAAAATCGATTTTTAAAAATAATATTCGATTATGGAGACTGTAACGAATAATCGAATAATCACTGGCATCCCTAGTCCATAGGTTGCTTTAAATATATGCAGTCTTTCACAGTGTATACAGGGGCAGTGTTTGTTTACTTTCTCAAAGCAAAGAGTGATGCACTTCAGGCCACAGAGGGATTCCTGCAGATGTAGCTCCCGTATGGCAGCGTAAAAATGCCTGAGGTCCGTCAACGGAACAGAGTTTACAAATAGAGGAGTTTCAGTCACTGCTGAGAAGGAGCAAGATCAGACACGAGACGTCCTGTCCTTACTCCCCGCACCAGAACGGGATAGCTAAGAGGTAAGGGCGCACTCTTTTCGAAATGGCTAGGTGTAAGCTAATAGACGGTAACTTACCTAAGAGTCTATGGCATTATGCGGTCCAAGAAGCAAGCTTACACCAGAAATCGGTGTTTTAACAAGCACACGGGCACCACCCCATATACTGGCACTGACAGGAAAAAGGTGTGATCTAGCCAGGATGCACAAGTTTGGGTCAGTGTGTTATGCTTACCAACAGGACAGAGGAAAACTCGAGTCCAGGTGTGAGAAAGGACTTTTTGTAGGACATGACAAGGGCAGCCCCGCTTTTCTAGTCTATTATCCCGGTAAGGGGAGAAAGTGCAAAAGCACAGGTTAGTAAAGTTTGTCACAAAGACAACATGTGAGAACGAGACACAGACACAGGAGCCAGAGCTGGACTCCAGAATAGGGTGTGAGAAAGAGACGCCACAGCCTAGTGTACTGAGCCACAGACATGCAGACAGATGGTCAACAGCCACCGGAGGATGATGGCGAGAGAAGCACCCTAGGGTGACGTCACGTGCCTCATGCAGTGGAGATATCCCTCCCGGGAACATAAACCCCCAAAGTATCTGAAAGACTATGCCCAGAGAGAAGTGACGGAGGATGACAGTACACTTACCAGCATAGATTACTGCTACAGAGTAGTGAGTGGTGTACTTCAGACCTTTAAAGAGGCCATGATATCCCATGAGTCGGGAAAATGGGACAGAGCGATGGATGAGGAGATGAGGGTCTCTGGAGGACAATCATACTTTTACTCTAACAAAGTTACCCGAGGGTAGACAGACAGTGGGAGGCAAGTGGGTGTACTCAATCAAGGAGGGTATTGAAGGGCACGACAGGTACAAGGCCAGGTTTTGTAGCTAAGGCTACAGTCAGAGGGAAGGAATAGACTACGGTGAGATGAGCCATCTCCCCTACAGCTAATCTGACCAGTGTACGGGTAGTTATGCAGAAGGCAAGCCGAAGAAGACTTGATTTTACACCAGATGGATGTGAAGACAGCCTACCTGCACGCACCCATTGATAGGGACTAATATATGGAACAACCTGAAGGTTACGAGAAGAAGGAGAGAAGCTAGTGTGCAAGCTAGAAAAATCCATTTACGGCCTGAAACAGTCTGGGCGAAATTGGAACGAGATGCTTCATGCATGTCTAATTGAAGACCACTTCATACAGAACCAGTAGACCCCTGTGTTTACACAAAGGAGTCAAAAGAGTCAGGAAAAGTGATAATTGTGATTTGGGTGGATGATTTCATCATCGCAGCAGACAACACTAGAAACCTAGAGCAGGTGAAAGGTATGCTCTCCACCAGATTCAAGATGAAGGACCTGGGCAGGTTTAAAACATTTTCTAGGCATGGACTTCGAACAGTCTGCCAGTTGTGTAAAAATATCCCACAAGAGATATGTGGAAAAGATCCTGAATCGTTTTGACATGCAGGAGTGTAGAACTAGGGAAACACCATGTGATTAAAAGCTAGACTACAATGAGGATGCACAAAAATTGACGGATGTAAAATGTATAGAGAAGCTGTAGGCAGCCTAGGGCTGTGCGATTATGGCAAAAATCATAATCACGATTATTTGGTCAATAATTGATATCACGATTATTTTGACGATTATTCATTGACCATTTATTGAACTTTAAAACAAATAATATTTTACCAATAAACAAGATCAATAAATGTGTTGGAGCGCACTTCCAAAACCATACTAAACATATATTAATATGATAAATAAAAATAAATTAGACCAAAAATAAATGAAATCAAATATGTTGCAGTGCACTGTCACAACCTACTGAAAACTCCTTAACATATAGCTAACATTTTGGTAAAACATATTCAACATATTCCACTCAGTTAAACGTTGAAGGCTGGCCCACCGTCATGGTCCAGAAGTAACAGGAAATAAATGTTGAACTACAATTTAAGACCAAATAAAACATTTTAGGCCACCATGGCAAATGCTGGTAAGGCTGCTCATGTCATCTCTTAAAGATTTTTTTTGCAAGAAATACCAGCCTGTTTACATGGTCTGGTTTCAGAGATGAGCGCAGGCAGGTGACAATATTGCCACCTGTACTGAAGACCCTCTCTGAAGAGGAACTTGTGGCAGTGCTGCCACATATGACACAGGAAAAAAAGAAAAGACTCTGAAGAACCCTTTCTTTGCCATTATATAAAAATAGTGTTGCTACAAAAGTATAAATTAGGCTTACTAATAAGACAACTCAGATCTGAAGCTACACAGTAATCTGCTGCAGCAACAGTGCAATAAAAAAGACAACATTAATAGAATCAAACCCATTTTTTGTTGCATTTTATTAGAGTATAAAAATAAATGCCTTTAAAATAGGATGCAAGCAACACTAGTTTCTGAACTGATAGACTATAATCAATTTAAACAGAACAGATCTTAATGTTTGCATTCTTATACCATTTTGTACAATAATTATCATGAATAAATTCAAACAAACTAAAACTTACAGCAGATTAATAACGGTATCTAAATTGAGTTTTTATTATATCAAAAACCTGTTGAAATGCTGCTATTATTTTTACTGTCCCACAAAAGCGCGTCGCAGCCTCCAGGAAAGCTTCTTTCACAACTTTGCCGTCTTTGAAAGACTTCATGTGTTTCTCAAGAACGTGACGGACACGATAAGATGCTCTGGTAGCAGCCTTGCTCTTGTTATTGGGCCTGGTGAAAATGGACTGCTGTGCATTTAGCTGTGCTCTCAGGCCCCTCCCCTTTTGGAGCGTAGGGCAGAATTAGGAGGGAATTCCGTCTCGTAGCGTTTGTGCACTGTTTTGAAATGCCGCTCCTAAATTACCCTTCTTCGATAAAGCCACGCTCGCATTGCAGATGAGACAGACGGACTTTGAATTGGAATAGATACAAAAATAATGATCCTCCCACTTGGAGTGAAAATTTTATATTTTGGGCTTTTTTGCTTCTGCCATAATTGCGGTCTTGTGTGTGTGCGGACTGTCACTCCTGTTGACCATCCATGCTGTTGACACGGACAACGTCAGCGAACTAGTGCACTGCTCACCAGCCACGCCCGGACACATGGGGTGAGGCCGGCCAATCACAAAGCTTTGATGCGTTCAAGTGCATTATTCTAAAATATATCATTTGGGAAACTGTTTTGCATTACATAAAGAATTCATTTTCAATTAAATATCAATGCTGCACGGTTTTTTAAAACAGTCCTGTGCATATTTGCAACGTTGCCTGCAACTGCACAATACAACCAGTAGTGTTTCATAGGTTAGAAAAGGTACAGCAACATCTCTAATGGCTAACAAAGGTATATTGATAATCTTCATGCACTTTTTATTATATCTTCCTGCTTTTGCTATATTGTTCAAATTGTGGAACATTGAAAAATTAGAACCTTGAAGATGAGACTTTCTGCAGAATGAACTCCGAATTGTATACAAAAATAGAAAAAATAAGTAGTTTAGATACAGACATCTCTACAGGAAGGTTACGGGAGGGTCTTACCAGTGATGTCAATGGGCTCCAGGGCAAAGTCGAAAAAGTCCCCGAAGTCGTAGTCCATGTGGTTGCACTTGTCAGGGAGAGCAGCTGGGCCTGGCTCAGCCTCCAGCAAAAGGTTGGAGGCTGTGGCGCCGTGCATGATGTCCTCCTCAAACGTGCTGGGATCACGCATCGACTCACGGTCATCCATACCAAAGTTAGCTGAAGTGTAGAGAAGGTTATTTTTAGACATGAGTAACAGCTTTAAAATGTTGATCATTAAATGCTGTATGTTAAAAAATGTTTCCCTTTAATCATGTTGAAATATAGGCCTACATATGCAGTGTATGGTAGGAGTTGACATCAAATATATACAATGCATGTATAGTGTCGTACCAAAGTCATTGTCCTGCAAGAGGCTGAGGTTGCCAACATCTGAACTGCACAGCAGTTACAAAGGTCAAACTACATTAGAATAGAATTGTCCCCATTTTGTCTTTAATAGTTACTAACATTAGATATTTTAATGAGATATGGACCGCAAAACAAAGAATTTCCCTGGTCTTCATTTTTATAATCAAGTCACCGAATGCAAGTAGTCGCCATAGCTTATTTTGTTATGAGATGTGAATTACTGTTCAATTTAGTGTAATAATCGTTTGGTTTATTTTACATTAAAAACAAGTTAACATTTTCAAAAGGTCTTATGTTTTTTTTCGGGGGGGAGGCCCTTTTTCCAGTTTAGAGCAATAGCCCCTCCAAATGTCTGTGCACGTCCCTGCTTTGGTTCCCCTATTCTTTATCAAGTAACATTTTAGATGTGTTTAATTTATTATTGAACATATTTATTCATTAATTTCTTTATGAATTATTCTTCCGCAATTTGAATGAATCCAAAACACATTCAAACTAAAGTATCAATGTATGTCACATTTAACCAACTAGTGCCGACATGTATGGTAATATTTAAATCAGTACATTAAATGGCATATTATTCAATGTATGTATTTTTATAAATATATTTATTTTGGTAGGTCTGCTCTTCCGTAATACATTTTAATTATTATAATAAATACATGTGTCTAATAATACATACTTTTACTTAAATAAGATATGAATGCAGTACTTTAACTTGTAATGGAGTATTTTCACCGTGTGGCGTTTGTACTTTTACTTCAGGATCTGCTACCTGCAGCAAGTGCTGATAAAGGGTCTAAAGTAGGGCTGTGCGATTATGGCAAAAATCATAATCACGATTATTTGGGTCAATAATTGATATCACGATTATTTTGACGATTATTCATTGACCATTTATTGAACTTTAAAACAAATAATATTTTACCAATAAACAAGATCAACAAATATGTTGGAGCGCACTTCCAAAACCATACTAAACATATATTATTAATATGATAAATAAAAATAAATTAGACCAAAATAAATGAAATCAAACATGTTGCAGTGCACTGTCACAACCTACTGAAAACTCCTTAACATATAGCCAACATTTTGGTAAAACATATTCAACATATTCCACTAAGTTAAACGTTGAAGGCTGGCCAACCGTCATGGTCCAGAAGTAACAGGAAATAAATGTTGAACTACAATTTAAGACCAAATAAAAATGTTTAGGCCACCATGGCAAATGCTGGTAGGGCTGCTCATGTCATCTCTTAAAGATTGTTCGCAAGAAACACCAGCCTGTTTACATGGTCTGGTTTCAGAGATGAGCGCAGGCAGGTGACAATATTGCCACCTGTACTGAAGACCCTCAGACACGCCCCGACACATGGGGTGACGCCGGCCAATCACAAAGCTTTGATGCGTTCAAGTGCATTATTCTGGCACAGGAAGATTATGTTACAGGACATTAACGATAAAACAGAATATTGTTGTTCTATTTTTAGACACATCTCGCGATCGACTGGTTGGGCACCCCTGGGCTAGACCATAGGTCTGTTGTGGTAGCAAAGTAGTCAGCTGAAGCCACATCTCTCTCAACTTCCCCACGGCATTTGTCATATAGTGCAGGCAGCGCAGACCTGCTGAAATAATACCGAGACGGCATCGCGTAACGCTTGTCCAACGTGTTGACAAGTTGCTTAAAGCCCTGGTTGCTAACAGTGCTAACTGGGCACATATCTTTAGCGATGTGAAATGTAATGGCACCTGTAATATCTCTGTGTCTCTGCGAGCTCGTCGCGTCGGCCGTTGCTCTGTACAATGCGTCCAGAATCGATGACTGTGATGATGTGGTGGATGAAGTCGAGCGGGCATCTGCTTTTTGTTGTATTACTGCCTGGTCGTATTGCACTTTGTGGTTGTATTTCAGGTGATTAAAGAGATTGGTTGTGTTAGCGTGTGGTGCCAACACAACCTGGTAACAAATCCTGCACTGTACTTTGTTTTGCTCCACGTCGGACTCCTGAAAGCCAAAGTACTTCCAAATAGTGGAAATAGTTGTACCCTTCTTTTTAACGAGTTGCTGCTCTTGTTCTGACATCTTCGCTCGCGCTGAACACTCACAACACATGTCACTCCCACGTGGCCGAGTGGGCTTTTAGGGAGGGGCGAAAGCGCACCAGCAAAAATAATCGTATTTTGTCAATTATGCTGTTTTCATAATCGTCGCAAACCATAATCGTAATCGCGATTAAAATACGATTAATTGCACAGCCCTAAGGCAGCCTCATTTATTTGACAACATGTACTCGCCCTGACCTATGTTTTGTCGTGAGTAAGTTATCACAGCATTTTGCTGATCCCACAGAAGAGCACTGGATTACAGCAAAACATGTTTTCCGTTATCTTAAAGGTACAGCAGATAAACAGCTTTGTTACAGGAAGAGCAGCGAGGGCTTAGGGCTTCAAGCCTATAGTGACGCAGATTGGGCGGCAGACGCCACAGACAGGAGAAGTACCACAGGGTATTGTGTGAGTATGGGTACAGACAGCTCACTGGTTTCATGGAAAACAGGGAAACAGCCCACAGTGGCACTATCAACTTGTGAAGCCGAATATATGGCTCTAGCCTTGACAATACAGGAATGTATTTATCTGGAACAACTGCTCGAAGGAATGGATACCTATGTATATAAGAAAACTGTTGTTTATGAAGACAACCAGGGAACCATTGCACTTGCCAGAAACCCTGTGTGCCGACAGAGATGTAAACATGTGGATATAAAATATCATTTAATTAGATCTGTCATCAGAGAAGAAAAGATGACACTGGTTTACTGTCCCACAGATGACATGGTTGCAGATGCTATGACCAAGCCTGTCTCCAAACTGAAATAGAAAAAATTTGCAGGGGTCATGTTCGGTGTGTAAAATATTGCCTATTATGGAATATTGACTGCCATGTTCTTTTGATATTTTGAACTGTTATTTTTCTTGGAAAAGTTGTACAGTATACATATCATTCATAAGTGGGAGTGTTAAGTGTAAGTATTAGGGGTGTAACGGTACACGTACCCGTACCGAAATTATTCGGTACGGGCACTTCGGTTCGGTACGGGTGTGTACCGAAGTGTACCGAACGAATATAACGTTAAACGTAAAAAATTTAGAACGTGAACAACTTTTTGGAAGTAATCTCAGGTGCTGCGGGCGCAGCATTCAGAGTCATTTGCTCACATTGGGTTCCACGCGTCATAGAGCGAGCAAGTAATTTCATTGGACGAGAGAGGCATGCTATGAGAGCTGGTCACAGGGATGCGTTCAAATTTAGTCAGTAATTTGAGGAACTCTCAAAATGGCGAACGCAGGGAAAGTGGAGCTCGAAAATCCTCCACCAACATTAAAGTCTCCGGTTTGGGAACATTATGGTTTTGCAGTTGCATACAACGATGACGGACAAAGACAGGTGGACCGAACTAAAGCTGTTTGTCGGCATTGTTCGACACACATTGGTTACGCGGCCGGCAATACAACAAACATGCACACGCATCTGAAAAGACATCACCCCGAACGTAAATATTACCGGTACCAAACGAAAAATGACTGAAGTGCAAACTCAACTCCCACTATCATTTAAGCCTCCACCACTCGTAAAAAGTTCCGACCGAGCCACAGCTATCACAAACGCCATAGGTGTTTTCATAGCAGCGGACATGCGACCATATTCCGTTGTGGAGAATATAGGGTTCAAACACATGTTGAGAGTGGTCGAGCCTCGTTACCAGGTTCCCTCTCGTCCGCACTTCAGCCAGGAAGTGATACCAGCACTTTACAATAAAGTAAAAACAACAGTTGTCCACGACCTATCCAAGGCATCTTCTATTGCTCTAACGACCGATGGGTGGACATCTCGGGCCACCGAGAGTTATTTAACTGTAACGGCGCACTACATTACACCCGACTGCAACTGGAACATGCAAAGCCACGTCCTGCAAACTCGCCCCCTTTACGAACAGCACACAAGCACAAATCTGGCAGAGGTACTGAAGGAGGTAGTGTCAGAATGGAAGTTGGAGAGGCCAGGTAACACAATTCCAGTCACAACAGATAACGCAAGAAACATTGTCAATGCAATCAGTGAAGCTGGACTGGGCCCCCAAATTGGATGCTTTGCTCACACAATTAATTACCAGGTGTCCAGGCTGCTAGGCAGAATCAGGAGTGTTGTGTCTTTCTTCCACCGTAGCACAACAGCTGCACATATATTGCAGTGCAAACAGGAGATGCTCAATGTGCCAAAACACAAACTCATCCATGATGTCCCCACTCGCTGGAACTCCAGTTATGACATGGTGGAGCGGTATCTTGAGCAGCAAGCTGCTGTTTACTCAGCATTGACAGAAAAGACCCTCAAGAAAAACAAAAACATTAATACATTGAGTGACCAGGATGTGAGAATGGCAGAGGAGGTAATTGAGGTCCTTAAACCCCTAAAAACAATTACAACACTGATGTGCACTGAAACAACTCCATCAGTTTCAATGATCCTGCCTCTCAAAACAATGCTGATTAAATCCATGGGACCAAATGAGAAGGACTGTCTAACTGTGAAGGAAGTCAAAGCTGCCATCAGAGGGAGCCTAAAGGACAGATACACTGACCCTGCTCTTCAGGACTTTCTTCATAAATGCACAGCTGTAGATCCAAGGTTCAAGGCCCTTTCTCATGTGGATAATGCCTGCCGTGAACACATCTACAACAGTCTCACCACAGAGATTGTGGCCATTGAAGAACAGGTATACAATTAATTAATTTCCTTATGCATAAATTCAATTTTTGCTTAATTTGAGACATGTTATAGCTGTTACAATGTGAATAGTACTCTCATGTAAAATATAACATTATTTCTGTCATTTAATTCTGCAGAGGGAGGCCACAGAGACAGCAGGAGCCATGTCATCCGCAGGGAGAGCAGACCCAGAGGAATCTGTAGAATCTTCCTCCTCCTCCTCCTCCTCCCATCCTCCTCCTCCTCCTCCTCCCATCAGGAAGTCAGCCATGGCAGAACTGTTTGGTGAGCTCTTCAACACTGAGGAGAGAAACAAGCCCACTTTGCACCTGGTGAAGGGAGAGGTTACCTCATACATGGCAGCGGACAGCACTTCACTGGACTCCGACCCACTTGCATGGTGGAAGAACAATGAGGCCAAATATCCTCATGTTGCCATGTTGGCAAAGCGCTACCTGGCTGTATCTGCTACCTCTGTCCCTAGCGAGAGGGTGTTATCCACAGCAGGAGACATTGTTAGTGCCAGCAGATCTGCCCTTTCAGCAAGCAATGTGGACAAGTTAATTTTTCTAAAAAAAAACCTGAAAATACAATGAGAAGCAATCTGCCGGCTAATGTCAATCTGCTGGCTGCTCAGGTCTGAGTACTAGTATTACGAACAGAGTACTACAGTACAGTTCAAGCACAGATTTCAGTTCATCAAAATGCTGCACTTTTATGTTCATTTTGTTATATTTTGTATTTATTAGAGTTCACAGTTTAATAATAATAAAAAAATATATATATATATTTTATGTTTTGTGAGAATTTTTTCTGCTGTACCGAAAACGTACCGAACCGAACCGTGACCTAAAAACCGAGGTACGTACCGAACCGAAATGTTTGTGAACCGTTACACCCCTAGTAAGTATTAATATGTCTGCATGTAACTGCACTATAACTGTTCCACAGTAAGAGGGCGCTATAGGCGTAAGGAGGCGCAGCTATTGTAGCTGACGTCAGGTATCAGATATAAGGGATTGTTCCCTCCCCTTCTACCTCTCTCTCTAGCTCTCATGGAGAGCAGGTAAAGTGGTGCAATGCACATATGAAAATAAACCACGCCAGTTACGGAGCCTACACACGGCGGCGTGCGTTACCGCTTGGCGGTGGGCGTGTCTGAAGCTTGGGGATTTTTTACGAACAACGCGACCAACAACCAATCACATGAATGTCCCGCCCCGGACATACAAAGCAAAGCATTCATGCTACATCCATGCTGGCTAAATATACTGGCTATGCTTGCTAGCTGTCCATTCAAACGAAGTACACTGGATATAAACTCCCCAAACAGGCGACACCTACCAGTTTCACCCACTGTCTCTGCCACCTCCCCCCATGCCTGGCTCCTCCGGTTTGTATCCCTGTATGTAAAGAGGGACTGGTCATATAGTACCGCCACGATCATTTTCTCCTCCATTTTTTTACATATGGGAAATAACTGCGGTCTGGCTCTCCCAACATACACGCGGTTTGATTGGCTAGCGCTTGTAATGTCAGATTTGCATACGCGGGATTTGATTGGCTGACGCCTCCGTCGAGGCGGCAAAAGTAGAACATTGCTCTACTTTTGCAGCGAGCACCGCGAGAGAAGCTACGCTTTGCTCCCACAATGCAGTTCGGCGAATCGTGACGTCACCCCATTCAAAGTGAATGGGCAGAAGCGTTGAAGCGGCAACGCACGCCGCCTTGTGTAGGCTCCTTAAGGCGAGACACGGCAGGCAAAAACATCGTTTTTCAAGTACTGGTCAATTTTGAGATTTTGTGCTATTTTGATTCTATAACATGTTTTCTTTCAGGCTTTTGGAAGGAAAACGTACAAAATACACATTTAAGTGTTTATTTTACTGTAGTTTGTCTATTTGCGTCTGTAGATTTATCCTAAATTCACCAAAAGTTAGCATTCTAACTAGGGCCGGGACTTTAACGCGTTAATTAAGATTAATTAATTACACAAAAATTAACGCGAATTAACGCATTTTAATCGCACTTATTTTTGCACCGCGGAACGTTTCTCACTGGATGAGTTTCAGGCGTACCGATTATACTGGAGCACCAACTAACGTTCATGACTTCAGACAACAACAAACCACAGTGAACAACAGTGGGAAATGTTGTTTTAAAAAACGGACGGATGGAAGCGTCGATAAGAGCACGGTTGTGTGCAAATTATGCAAAAAGGAATTCGCATATCACCGCAGCACATCAAGCCTCAAGTATCACCTCAATGCAAAACATATAGCAGCTAGCGTGGAAGCTAGCGTGGACGTTAGCCTATTTTATCGCGTTCACACCAAAAAGAGCCGGTACTAAAATTAGTTCATGAGAACCTTTTTACCCCCACGAAAGTCCCTGCTAGAGAGCAGAGAGCTGCTAGAGAGCAGGGACTTTCGTACGGCTCTCTTGTGAGAAAAGAGCTATATGTCTGATTGGCTGGGCGGATTGCAAACCACGCCCCGTAAAACTCCCAAAAGGTTTTGTGAAGCCGCCATTTTATTATCCTCGCATTAGCATTATTAGCATTAGCCCAGCGCAGAAACGCAGAGAGACTAACTTATGGCAACACAAAATAAAACATGGGAGCGGTGGAGATGAGGAGGTGTCGGCGTTCTGGCGATTTACTCGGAAGGCTGCTGGGACTCCCAGCAGCTTCTACTGAAGCCAGTCCCCAACTCCGGGGACTTTGGGCGGCAGTATACGCCGTGAAGTGGTTTGCGGCCTGCCAGTAAACCCAAAGCAGAAGAAGAAGAAGTGACGTCAGCGGCTTCATTTGCCTAATCCACCCCCAGGTTCAAAGAGTTCTCATGAACTAAATTCTCATGAACCTTTGTGGGAAAAGTACTGCGGTGTGAATGCGCCTAATGGTAGCCTATACTAAAATCCATGTGAAAAAAAATTGCTTCTCACTGTTCTTAGGTCCAATATGTATATGCGATTAAAAATGCGATTAATTTCGATTAATTAATTACAAAGCCTCTAATTAATTAGATTACTTTTTTTAATCGAGTCCCGGCCCTAATTCTAACGTAACATAAAGTACCGCGACCGCTGTGTGCACCATGTCATCAGAGATATCGCTGGAAAGCTGTGTCTCTCCTGCACAATCGCATCGGATCCAAATATGGTCATTTCCTTTGTATCAGCAACCAATCGTGAAAGCACAAATGGGTCTTAAACCAAGAAACGAAATCTCATTGGCTGGTGTCAATTTCTGACAACGTGATTCGTTCAGATGCGTCACGTGGTGTGCTAAAACACTTCCTGGTTAGCTTTCCTTTAGAAATTGAAATCTCAAAATAGCAAAAGAACGGGGAAAAAAACGTTCACAGAGAAGACGACAACAATTGTCACTTGCACGAAGCAAGGTTATACAAAAAACAAATGACCCCGAACATGAAATACCTTCACGGAGTGCGTCGAGGCGCAAGCTGTCATCCAAAGAACATGAGGGTTTAGCTAGCGCCTCACTGCAATCTTTAAAGGTCGTTTTCTCAAAATGAGTTTTTTCTCCTACTCTGAGTTCGAAATTTCAACTTCAGTAGCACGTAGATACACAAAACCTTCCAGTTATATTCCTATCAATATTATGAAGGCTTTTACAGAAGGGTTTGTTCATATATCATTCATAGCCTGAATTATACAACATTGTATACCTAAAACATGGCGAAAATTGATATTTTAGGGCTGTTGACAGTATTTTCTGATTTATGGAGTGATAAAAAGAGATATCCAATATCCCTTCTGTAAAAGCCTTAGATACTAATATGACTACAAATTGAAACAAGAATTTTGAACCTGGCTTTATCCAAAGTTCAGATTTCGATTCCTGAAATGTGTTAAAATATGTGCATATTTCATGAGATAATGGATAATTTGTATATTTAAACATGCTATTTCAGAAAACTTGTAATACAAAAAACAATTGCCTTATTGTAAGTAATTAACTGGAGACATTTCTAGCTGATACTTTTAAGTTAAAAAAATTACCCTATTCACCTGGGGTGTCTCGCCTTAAGGCTAAAGAAGACCTCGTCGTCATGATCAGTTTATTGCTATACATGTGACTGTCAACAGGAGGTCATGCAAAATTGTGGCATGTTAATTATTTGCAATAATTTATGTTGTGTATTACTTTGCTTTTACTTTTTTATGGTCTTCTTAGTGACATTAGATCAGTGGTCGCCAATCAGTCGAGGGTGGTGCGGTTAGATCGCGGACCGTTAAAAAAATAAAGTAACAAAAGAAAGAAAAATAAAAGAAAAATAATAATGTTTGAAAAATACGTTTTTAGATGCAAACCTATCATCCACCACCCCGTTAGCAGGTGCCACTTGATTGATGTATATTTGAGACACCTCAATAATATAATACATTGATCGTGCTTTACGTGAACCTCATCATGACACAAGAGAGGACGGCAGGACTGCAATTTCCCGTGTTCAGTGAATGCAACAGAGGCAAGTCACCAGACCAATCAGAGAGTTGCATGGAAATACACGTGTGCTTGTGTCATTCAAGCTCGGCTCTGTGTGTGTGTGTGTGTGTGTGTGTGTGGCAATAACGCATTTAGTGTGATAGAGAGGGAGAGAGAGGGTGAGGGAGGGAGAGAGGGAGAGCCCTCTCCTCTTGGCAATAGCTCAGTAGATTATAGCATCACAGACCTCGACCCCTTCTGTCTGAGGGCATTCACAGTCAGCCCCCTAACACCCTTATCTGATCACGCAGCAGAACCCAGTAAACTGAACTATACCAAACACAGGGTTCGTACGGGTGCTTGAAATCCTTGAAAATGCTTGAAATTTGACGTGGTGTTTTCAAGGTTGGGAAAGTGCTTGAATTATGGGAATGGTGCTTGAAATTGAGATAAAGTGCTTGAAAATGTAAATGCTTTACTTTTACAATAAATTGCTGTCTGACTGAATAGTTCGCTTTTTAGATTAAAAGAAAAGAATTGCTTCGCTTCTACATAAAACAGCTCCGCTGCGGCCTTCCCGCGCTATGCGCGCGACCTGCAAGTGTTTGTGTTACGTGTGACCTGGGCATTCTGATGAGAGTGATAGATGACTGTGTGCCAGGAGGTTGCAGTTTCAACGAGCGTTGGCTAGCAGAAGACAAATACAAGCTATGGCTAAGACGAGGGTCAAGCCCACGAGTAGCCTCCTGCAAAATTTGCAACATAACGATGGGAGAGTCTGCGCTGACGAGCCACATGAAAGGTACGCTGTAGTTGAGCATTTTAGATTAGGCTAACGTTGCATGTTACGTTTGTTTAAGCTAACGTTAGCGAGCTGAATAGCGAACTCGATTGAGGGATAATAATAATTGCAGGGGACAATCATTTCAGAGGAGCGTAACCTATGTTATGTGCGTTACAGTCGCCATCCTGTGGTGTTCAGAGGATGAAGCACTCACGGCATTTTGTGTTATAGTCACGAAATATAATCTATTGATTCGACACAGAGCGATTTTGAAAGCAATGTATTTCTACTGGTAGGCCTAGTATGTTTCGTGCCTAAACCAAATGTGACTTGCTCTATCGAAATCAGTCACATTGACCCGAAGACACATTTTCGTTTGTATTACTGGTCTGGGGGAAGCTCGCGAGTATGTTCGTGTATTTTTGCGTTTGTGTACCGGGGAAACACTCACAAGAAACACCGGCTGTTGCTTGCTGTGACGTTACATTAATCCGTTCTCTGCTTGTAATTATGCCGAAGCTTCAAAGTTGTATTTATCATCTGAATTTGCCGAAACAAGTTTAATATTCTGAAAGCCAATACTTTGTTTATTTGAAAACATGAAAACAAACTGTCTTTTATATAAAATTGAAGTATTATACAAGTAAAACTACATTTTGCTTTAATCCCATGTAATTGTAGAATGAACACAGTCTTCCTTTGCAGATGTCTAAGTCAGGTGTCTTGAGTAGTCAGCATTACCTACAAGTCATTGTACACATTTGTACATATTATTTTCCACTTGTTACCATTGTGAGTCTATTTTTATGCAGCTCTGTGTGATTTTGTGGCTACAATTCAGACTAATACACTACCAGAGGTGGAATAAGTACTCAGGTATTGTACTTGAGTAAAAGTACAAGTACTCAGATCTTGTAGTGAAATTATAAGTACTCAGATCTTGTGCTTGAGTAAAAGTTGAAGTACTCAGATCTTGTAGTAAAAGTAGAAGTACTCAGATCTTGTACTTGAGTAAAAGTAGAAGTACTCAGGTCTTGTACTTGAGTAAAAGTTGAAGTACTCAGATCTTGTACTTGAGTAAAAGTACCAGAGTGTAGGAATACTCTGTTACAGTAAAAGTCCTGCATTCAAAATGTTCCTCAAGTAAAAGTAG